GAGAGTGACAATATGTCAAGCAGATGTGAAGCTCGTTATATCCGAGGAGCGTTGAAGGTGACCTTCTTGACATGACATTATTGGGAACACTAATGAGAAATAAAGAAGACGAACTGCAGTTATTTCATTTCTTTTCCAGCTTCAGGCTCCCTGGATGTGTTATAGGGATGACTCTTGGTCCCCAAAACGCAACTACGTTTAGGGCTGTAAGTCCTTTTATTGCATCACTGAAATAGTTTACATGCAACTCTGTGAAACAATATGTATATCAAGTGCAACATTCAGATATCTATTTCATGGTACCAATACAGCTCATATTATTACACATCGTTATTTACCAAAGTAGACCACATTATTGGCCCTGAACATATAAATGAAACGAAATACGACCAGACATTACGAAATGAAGGTAATAGCATCTTTCAGAACTGCCATAAAATATATCAACGTGCCTTACCATCTATGGGATAGCCTGCTACTGACTGGCCACATATTGTGAGGCACTGACAACCACATTGGACCTGTAGCTTGGAAATGGTAATTATAACCTGTTATCTAAATGTACAATCCGTCTGAGCTCAAATATAATCATTTGAACCAATTGTATGTGATTGAACCAATCGTATTGTCAGCGCCAACTTCCAACCATTACTCAAATCTTTTCTACCAAATGCATAAATTCTGCTGGAATGAATACTGAATTAAACTTCAACGATGGAACATATTTTTATAATTTATTCCTCTTATATAAAAAAGGGTAACAAACCTGTAATTCACCAAGCAAACACCATCCAAACACCTATCAGTCATGACTATTTAAACCACCTTGCCAGGGTGGGAGAAAGACAGCAAGTGGACAAAATTCTCACTTCTCATCACTTCTTAATGTTTAATCAAAATACTGTATATCTTCAACTAATGAAAACTAAGGACAAGACAATAGACATGGCCTCATTTAGATTTAGCTTCTTTGCAAAAGAACTACTTTTGACCCATGACCAAGTCTTGGCTATTGATATTAATTGCGTGTGTGCGTGCGTGCGTGCGTGTGTGAGTGTGTGATTGTAGGTTAACGTCGCAATGGACTGTATTTCAGTTAAATCAAGCTCGTTTGCAAATGGGAGGGAAGCCCACTGTGAAGCTGATCCCAGACGGTTATCTTCTGTTAGTGCCACAAAGACAATCATGGCCAGTCTAGGATTCAAGCCCCAAATGGTTATTTTTACAGATGGAATAAATCGAATTCTCTGAGAACATAAAATATTGTAAAGTGTAACATGTTTGAAAAGCGAACACCTTATATATTCCATCAATAGAGAAAGAAGGAATCAAATCATATGGACGCTTATAAGCATGGGTGCTGAGAGACACTTACTTAACAGAACACGTGGTTCCGTCCTTGAAACTGATCATTTTGGATTTGAATCCTGGACTGGCCCTCAAAATTCTTTTCCTATTCATTAATTAAAATATGAATTAGATGTCGAAAAAACTAGTTTGATTGCATCAGTGTGCAAGTTAATCAACTAATGTATGTGAACCTTTCACCTTCAGTAAATACTGGTAATGTAAGACTTTTCAGCCTTCAGTTTGTGTATGGCAATCCAGTTGCTGCACATAATGAGTTCTTTCTTTGAACTAGCACAATGTATGAATCTCTTGAGCTCAATTAACTCTTAAACAATAAAAACATGTTCCCTTTAATCAACTAAAAAGTGACATATCATCTATTAATTTTATAGTTATCAACATTTGTTGTATGTGTTGGTTTGAAATACAAGAACCCACCAAAGTAGCAACTGTTGATATTACCCTTATCAGATAGAGATGATACCTCAGTTTTACACACTGCACGTATCGCACGTTGACATTGTGTCGGTTTTACACATTGCACGTATCGCACGTTGACATTGTGTCGGTTTTACACACTGAACGCATTGCACGTTGACATTGTGTCAGTTTTACACGCAGCACATATTGTACGTTGACATTGTGTCAGTTTTACACACTGCACGCATCGCACGTTGACATTGTGTCAGTTTTACACACAGCACGTTGACATTGTGTCAGTTTTATACACTGCACGTTGACATTGTGTCAGTTTTACACACTGCACGCATTGCACGTTGACATTGTGTCAGTTTTACACGCAGCACATACTGCACGTTGATATTGTGTCAGTTTTACACACTGCACGCATCGCAAGTTGACACTGTGTCAGTTTTACACGCAGCACGTTGACATTGTGTCAGTGTTATACACTGCACATTGACATTGTGTCAGTTTTACACACTGTATGTTGACATGTCAGTTTTACACGCAGCACATATTGCACGTTGACATTGTGTCAGTTTTACACACAGTACGTTGACATTGTGTCAGTTTTATACACTGCACGTTGGCATTGTGTCAGTTTTATACACTGTACGTTCACATTGTGTCCGTTTTACACACTGTACGTGGACATTATGTCAGTTTTACACACAGCACATATTGCACATTGACACTGTGTCAATTTTACACACTGTCAGTTGACAATGTGTCCGTTTTACACGCACCGAGTTGACATTGTGTCAGTTTTATACGCAGTGCGTTGGCATTGTGTCAATTTTACACACTGTACGTTGACATTGCGTCATTTTTACCCACAGCACGTTGACATTGTGTCAGTCTTACACGCAGCACGTTGTCATTGTGTCAGTCTTACACACTGTACGTTGACATTTTGTCAGTTTTACACGCAGCACATATTGCACGTTGCCATTGTGCCTGTTTTACACGCAGCACATTGACATTGTGTCAGTGTTACATGCAACACGTTGACATTGTGTCAGTTTTAGACGCAGCACGTTGACATTGTGTCAGTTTTACACACTGTACGTTGACATTGTGTCAGTTTTGCAAGCAGCACGTATCGCAAGTTGACATTGCGTCAGTTTTACGCACTTCATGTTGACATTGTGTCAGTTTTACACACTGCACGTTGACATTGTGTCAGTTTTACACACTGTACGTTGACATTGTGTCAGTTTTACACACTGTACGTTGACATTGTGTCAGTTTTGCAAGCAGCACGTATCGCAAGTTGACATTGCGTCAGTTTTACACACTGCACGTTGACATTGTGTCAGTTTTACACGCAGCACATATTGCACGTTGACATTGTGTCAGTTTTACACGCAGCACATATTGCACGTTAACATTGTGTCAGTTTTATACGCAGCACATATTGCACGTTGACATTGTGTCTGTTTTACACGCAGCACATATTGCACGTTGACATTGTGTCAGTGTTATACGCAGCACATATTGCACACTGTATGTTGACTTAGTGTCAGCTTCACACACGATAGTAATTCGCAGAGACTCTGACTCGAGTAAACACATGGTATTTACTTATCGCACAGAAACATCGTCTCGATTTCACACACAACTTCATAGCCAAGACATTGAGAATAAATATACACCACCTTCTCTTTAAACAACCTCCTCACCCGAGTAGAACCACGTTTCCCAAGTTCAATACACTGTTGTAAGCAGCGTTGTCAAAAGAACTTGACTCACAAATCGAAGACACACACTTAGACACTGGAGGTATCTGTTGCTAAATCCGCCCTGGAAAAAGAGGTCTTGGTCCTAAAGAAATTGGTTTTAAAGATAACACCATGTATGACAAATTGATGAGGCACAGCTAGAGCACTTTAGACAACCAATCCGTTGACATTTGATATGATTTTTGTTTATGTGTAGAGTTTGTTGATGCAGAAAATGAGTGAACGAATGTTGTTTGATGCTACTTTCAGTAATATTCAAGCGTTATCTCGACGGGTCTCTGGCAAGGGTCAACATGACCTGACTTTCGCACTCCGCCCCGGAGACATTGTATTTCATGTCAGATAAGATTTAGGTGACCTGTAGCTCCATGGCGAGTGAATGGGCTTGGGTATGGAGATCACTATCACCTGTATGGCGCACGCCGTACTTGCCTGACATCTAGTTTCACAAACACTCTTCAACATTGCGAATTCCATGAAATGTTGTAAAAACAAATATTGTAAAACAAATATTGTAAAAACAAATATTGTAAAAACAAATATTGTAAAAAGGTGAAATCCCAGCGTGGATTCTGACGGCAAGGTCATGCAAAGAAACTGCATTCTTTGTTCTGTAGTCGTAGGAAGCAGCACGTATAAACGCAGTGACTTGGCAATAATTGTTTTCCAAGATATTTTTATGGATTAAACTTCTTTTTTAATTTCTCTCACAACGTTTCGAGACCATTCCAGGTCCCTTCATCAGTTCACCTGATGAAGGGACCTGGAATGGTCTCGAAACGTTGTGAGAGAAATTAAAAAAGAAGTTTAATCCATAAAAATATCTTGGACATCAATGTACAACTTCTAAATGCCACTGAAAGACATAATAATTGTTTTGTTCTGATGTCATAGGAAGTATCCATAGTGAGAGGGAAATTTAAGGATTGACACACCAGAACTAAAATGAGAGTCAGAGTTCGACTTATCATTTCTTACAGTATGTTTTGTACAAGACACAAGCCTCCAATTCCAATGTGATTTTGTTTCAAGTCAGTTCTTTCATACTATATTTGGAGATCCTTAGAAGAAGTTATTAAAATGTTAAACTCTCAGTTCCCCACATGGGGAATTGGATATTTCGTGATAACTTGTGACAACAGTGTTAAATAGATACTCTATATGCATCTAAATAAATGGTCCAAATATGTTAAATACAAATTTTACACACATTGCTTTTTTTTCAGCTTTTTAAAAATAATTTCTTAAATTTATAAGCATTTCAAATATGAAAAGCATGTATTGAATGAAATTTATCTTCTTAGAGAAATGTCTGAAAATATAGCACACACTATCCCATCATGATGTTGAGCACCACTGATTAACAAAGTTATTGTATATAAGTTGATAAATGGAAGGACTGATAACAGCACAATCGCACCTGCATAAGATTACGTTTTTGGGACAGTGCGGATGTTGCGCCAAAACGCAACGTCAAGTGAACATATATACCCATACCCTCCGGACAAATTAGCAGTCGGCGGCCTACTGACTTCAGCTCCTTTGGCTGGGAACTGTCTACAGATTGATTTTGTCTCAGGTACGTGTCCATTTCAAACATAATCATGTTATTATGTTGTTAGAAGACAGACATGTACAAAACATTCTAAATATGTTGTATTTTCATGACATATTAGAGTTCTATGGTTGATCAGTGTTGTACAAAAGATGGTCTAGATGTTGGACAGGGAAATATATGACATATCCCATATAAAGGTCTGTCAATAGCTGCCAATAGGTGTATATAATATGTCAGCACGCGTGACCTAGAGAGTTAGGAATCCACCCGTGCAGTGATCACTGTAATTCTATTTGGATTAGTATAACAGCAAGGTAAAAGGTGCCACTGTGTGTGTGTGTGTGTGTGTCTGTCTGTCTCTGTGTGTGTGTGTCTCTCTCTCTCTCTCTCTCTCTCTCTCTCTCTCTGTGTGGAATAATTGCTAACTGTAAATATTGTTTTTTAGAGGACAGAAATGGCGACGAAGATGCCATGGATCCTTTCGACAATGCTCGCTTCCATCTCCACTATTCTGATGTTCGTCACTATGTTTATTACTATCAACCTCTCAAGAATATTTCCACCTCTACGAAGACAATTTCGGGAAACTTGGAAACCTATCCTTGAGGGATCATCTATTGAGGAAGGAGAATTATTTGATAGCTTACTCTGTCTGGGAACCTGGAAATATATCCTGACTGAGATGTGGAACCGCCGATTTCCGGATCAGGAACTGAATGACAAAGCGTGTAACCCTTTCGTCTGGTCAGCAGACGGCAAAACCAAACATCGTCTACTGGACTTCATGAAGAAGGGTCGCCCTCTGGTTCTCAACTTTGGAAGCTGTAGCTGACCTCCCTTTATGGCCAAACTGGCCAAGTTCAACGACATTGTTCAAAAGTATGGACATATCGCTGACTTTCTTCTTATATACATAAAGGAAGCTCACCCAACAGACGGGTGGCATTTCAAGAGCAATGCTTATTGCATTGAATCAGCTAAGAACATGACCGACCGGGCTGAGGCGGCAAAGTTCTTGCGAGATGAGAATGTGAGATGTCCTTTGGTTCTGGATGATGTAACAGACGAGGCTGTTACAGCATACTGCAGTTTTCCCGAAAGACTATATATCGTGTTGGATGGCGTGATTGTGCTTGTTGGAGGAATAGGCCCAGAGGAATATGACCTTCAACCAGTGGAGGAGTGGCTGGTCGCCTACAGTGGACAGGGGTAGACATGTGCCAAATATGCCTGAACTTGATGGACAAAAATATGTTGGATGTTCTTTAAGGTTCACAGACGACAAGGAAATCACAACACCCGGTAATGAATTCCGGTTGACACTACATTATCCAATGTATGATCTCTGTGCCATGTTCTAGAAAGAAATATCTATTGAAACACGTTTTAACATTTTAATCCTAGTTGTATTAAAACAACGTTTAAACTTCTGCTTTACATTGCTCATGAATACTGACATGTGAGAAGGAGACGGTTTCTTCAATGACAACACAGACTTAAACTTGTGGTCTGTGTTTGATGGACAGAAATTAATGAACCTCGGATGTAATAGGGACGTGACTAAATTGTTTTGATCTATATAATTCCAAACTGGAATCGCAGCCCGATGAGTGTAACTTATATCGTCAGCGTTGGTGAGAGCAGCAATATGTCAGATAGAAAGATCGTTATGTCCGAGGTGCGCTAAAGGTGACCTTCTTAACATGACACTATTGGGAGGCAATGGGCATTGATACACAATAAAAATGTTGAACTGTTTGTGTTTCGTTTCCTTATCTTTTGTTTGTCTGTTGTATTACACCGCACTCAGCAACATTCCAGCCATATGGCGGCGGTCTGTAATTAATCGAGTCTGGACCAGCCAATCTAGTGATCAACGTCATGCCCATCAATCTACGCAGTTGGGATACGATGACATGTGTCAACTAAATCAGCCAGTCTGACCACCCGATCCCGTTAGTCGTTTCTTTGTCGGCTTCTGTAAAGCCCATTTCTGGTGCCCCCCGCCGTGATATTGCTTGAATGTTGCTAAAAGCGGCGTAAAACCATACTCACTCATTCACTTTATCAACTCCTTTTAGTAATAAGGATTTAATTGGTCGTAACTTTGACCTGATTCAGAACAGATAAATACTCCTGTTTCTTTGTGAACCTAATCTCGGTAACCAGGGTGAATGAACGAGTTGAGTTCAGGTCAGCGTTTGAGCTGTATTTTCACCGTTAGCATTATATGTTGGTAAAATCCACAGTAAAACAGTTCGTGGAGATTGCATTTTGTGCTGACAAATCTAAACTCATAATCAGGGCGATTCTGGGATTCGACCATAAGACTGTTTCAGGAAGACAACACAACGAATGAGGTGGTAATATAGCTGGATGACCAGGTAAAACAATATTACTTTTGCTTACAAGGAAAGGTCATCGGTTATAATTGTTATTCAAGTAAAAGGAAAAGATTAATTTGACCAACTATTTCGACATGTTTCATGATGCAATCAAGGTAAATTTGCATACCAAGTATATGTTTACCTAGTTAACAGCAGAAGGATTTTGAGCGTCAAGTTAGTGAAGCATAGTGTTCCTAACTTTTAAACACCTTTCGTCTTCTTATAATAACAAACTAGAATAAACCATGTATGTTTTGTTTGCTTTTCAACAATTGATTATCCTAATTTCCGAAAGACAATGGTTTCTTTTAACAGACATAGATACCTGAACAGACACAGTGTCTTACTTTAACAAACACTCCTACCTGAAGAGAAAGGGTGAGTGAGTGAGTGAGTTTGGTTTTAAGCCGGTTTTGGCAATATAATGGAGGGGGACACCAGAAATAGGCTGCACACACTGTACACATATGAGAAATCGAGCCCGGGTTTTCGGCGTGACGAGCTAACGCTTTAACCACTAGGCAAGCCCCCCGCCCCGAAGAGACAGAGTGTCTTACTTTAACAAGGAGCCTACCAAAGAAACTGAATAAAAATACGACGATCTGCAAATTTAAAGAATCGAGGACGCGTTCCGAAAAGACTCCGAAGTGCATCACGATGTGACTGCGCATGCGCTGCCAATTCAAAATGGCAGATGAAGTTTGACTCCTGCGGTTGGTAAGTGAAAATGATTTTTATTCTTCATATATCTTGCTCTGAGATATTTTATGAACTAGAAAAACTAGATAAAGGTTCCTAACACGAAACTGTAAAAATATTACATCATTTCGCCAGCTAAATCGAAGAATATAAGTCATTTTGTGATTAGCATGTGGAACCACTATAGTCCGTATCAAATACGGCCAACCGGTCCTGATTCTTGGTTTGGTGGAGCATGATAGTATGGTTTCCACACGGCCAAAGCGAGGAACCCAAATGAATAACTGACTGTATATATTTTCAATACTTATATGAATTTATGAAAAATCTAATCCGAACTTATATCTTTTTCATGGTATAAATATGTAAAATATATTTTGAATATAATTACAGACTCGATATCGTGGTCATGTAATTTCCATTCAACTATTAAAATAAACAATTTTTCATGAAGGTACTTTCGATCATAGTCAAATGTAGAATCACCTGAATGAAAATTATTTATGATTCCACTAAATTAACATGTAAGTCTATGGAAAGTATATCAAGTGCATGTGTCTGTAGGGAGTATATATTAATTGCTATACTGCACTGCTGTCTTTTCAAAATTAATTTTATTTATTTTCGGGGTTTTACCAAGATGATATGTAATATATTTTTATCATGTATAAGAACTGGATATTTTTAACTGATCAGAAATTATTATTTTTATGAGGCTAATTTTAATTTTTAATTTTAAAATAACTGTTAAAATTGGAATAAGCCACTTTGAGATGTCCTAATAGAGACTTAATTATCTGTTTTTGATTTTCCAGCAATGCTCCTGAAAGAAATGACAGATCCGGGTTCCTGTGATGAATTGACTACCATTCCAGAGTCACCAACCACATCACAGACAGGGACTGAACCACAACCAGATCTTCAGAGGTTCGAGTGCGAGTACTGTGACAAGGTGCTATCAACAAAGATGGGAATGAAAATGCACACCCGGCAACATACAAAACAGTTTCCCTATGTATGTAGCCAATGTAGTAAAGGGTTTAATACTCGAGTCCTCCTCAAAGCGCACCTTGCCAAGCATCAAGGAAAGCCGTATGCGACTTGTAAACTTTGCGGAAAAGCTTTAGCAAGTCCATCGGCACTCAAGCGGCACCATGCCTTACATGAAGGCACAACTTTGAAATGTGACTATTGTGACAAAACATCAGATTTTCATATGCTAAGGATGTCCACATTCAAACCACATCAGATTTCTCATTTCGATTTCTGCCAAGCAAAAACAGAAGGTGTCTAATCCAGGTATGTGGAAAAGACTTTCATGAAAAAACAATTTGCTAAGCACATGCGTGAAATTCATGGCGAGAGTGCGAGTTATGTCCTCATGCCAGTGCGAGAGACGACTTGTCCTTATGCCTGAAACAGAAAGGACGACTGATGGAGACATGGTGTGATGCACCGACCCACCAAGATTGGAAATGTGTTCTTCATGTGGGAAGGACTTTAGAAGTGGGAGACCTCAGAAGGGAGGCATGAGGAGGGACTGCCAAGGACCAAAAAGGAGGACAAAGATTTTGATATTGTTGGAAATGCACCCTGACCTCCTAATCCATTTGCAGTGCGAGCAAAAATAGGATATTTAAACATGTTCTCCAGAGTGAGAGACTGTGATGTGTAAAATATGTTTCTGTGATCATCAGAGAGAGACCTGTGATGTGTAAATATGTTTCTGTGATGATCATCAGAGAGAGACTGTGATGTGTAAATATGTTTCTGTGATCATCTGTGATGTAAATATGTTTCTGTGATCAGAGAGACTGTGATGTGTAAATATGTTTCTGTGATCATCAGAGAGAGAGACTGTGATGTGTAAATATGTTTCTGTGATCATCCAGAGAGAGACTGTGATGTGTAAATATGTTTCTGTGATCATCCAGAGAGAGACTGTGATGTGTAAATATGTTTCTGTGATCATCCAGAGAGAGACTGTGATGTGTAAATATGTTTCTGTGATCATCCAGAGAGACTGTGATGTGTAAATATGTTTCTGTGATCATCCAGAGAGAGACTGTGATGTGTAAATATGTTTCTGTGATCATCCAGAGAGAGACTGTGATGTGTAAATATGTTTCTGTGATCATCCAGAGAGAGACTGTGATGTGTAAATATGTTTCTGTGATCATCCAGAGAGAAATTGTGATGTGTGAAAATATGTTTCTGTGATCATCCAGAGAGGGACTGTGATGTGTAAATATGTTATTTTGTTATTTATATCTTATATTTTTATTTTTGTGATAGCCTGTGATTTATATGTTGTTGAACAGAATTACTGTTTACCACCAGTTGGTGCCATAAATGTATATTGTATTGTCCAAGTGCCAAGTTTTAGTATATCAATAAAAAATTGAAACTTATTTCCACATGAACTTCAATTAACAACACGAAAAAGTTCATTCAACATTTTTTTATAATTTCATTCAAGATAACAATACATCCTTGCAGCAGCAGCTCTTTCATTTACATGACTTTATGATATGAAACAAATCAAATAACATGACTTAACTTGGAAGAACTTTCAAGTTCATTAACATAGGGCGTTTGTCATTCTGGAGCGAAGACCACCAGGCCACCCCTTATGTTATTCTGGATTTATACCACCAGGCCACCCTTATGTTATTAGCTTTTCACAAATGTGCCCTGGGGTGAGGTGATTTTGGATTTAACACCACTTTAAATAGTATTTCCACTTATATCACAAGTGAACCAGGGGTGGTACTGCACTGAATTTCAATTAAGCATTCTCTCAAATCTTACTGCATGAAGAACAGTTTTTTAAAAACAGTGTCTTTAGCTTTGCCCATTCTCACAAGTGGATTTATTCTGGACTCGTCAACTTTGTGGTGTTGACGCACTCCAGTGACTCCTTTAGCTGGTTCATGGATGTTGGATAGTCCATGCAGATGGTGACGAGCAGTGCTTCTTCGATTTTTGTCGTCAAACGGATGATCCTGAAATGTAAGATTATATTACTGAAATATGCTTAAAGGTCATGCAACGTAAAACACAACTTTGCAGATTCTGATACCTTTCGGTATGGACTTACCAAAACAAATCGTCAAAATGCAAATTC